TGCTCGAAATCCTGCCTGATTCTGCCTACGCCTTTCTGGGGGAGCAAAGAAATCTGCTATTCGACTCATGTTGTCAGCGTTTTCCCTGTTTGTCACAGTCACATTTTGCACTATTGGGGCAAATATCTCCTGCATGGTTTGTGCTAACACCCCTATCATATTATGGTTACTGTCATCCATCAATTGCCTAAAAGCCAACTGGTTTTCTGTGGTTAAAATAGGCATTGTGCTATAACCCACCGACCCTTGGTTATTTGTCATAAACTGATTCTCCCCAGACCCAGACCCTAATTGTGGGGATGAATTCGATGTGGAATTGTGTAAACCTGCCATAAAAGATGTTGGCATTCCATAAGAGGAATTTCTGGTTCTATTTCCATCGAAATCGGGTGGTCTAGTTAATGGAGTGGCGAAATGGGATTGTGTCCCCGATGGTGGAACGAATCCCCTAGGGTAACCAATGGTTCCAGTATTTCCTAAGATCGAACTATTAGTTGATACTCCACTTACTCCATTGGTGGCTATATTACTGGTTGAAGATGCAACAGACTGTGCATTCGAAGGGATCACATTAGATGTTCCGATCGAAGCGGACACATTAGTGCCTGTTGTATGTGGGGCATTTTGTTCCCCTTGTTGATTGTCAGAATTAGACATTTTGGCCAAACGTTTTCTTCTGGATAAAGGTTGGTTGTTGTTGGTTATTTTACCACTTCTTAGGTTCATAAAACAGCAAACTTCTTAGGTTTCAACGTTTTTATAATGGTTATGTCTCAACAATCTTTATTTCTAATATCCAATTATTGGTCCCACCGGGTGTGCCAATTTGTTTCCAGTGATTTCTGGTAAACAACCGCTAGTCTTCCAAATTATCGAATAAACTTTTTGACTGTTATTCAATTCCTCTGGTAACTCACAGGATCGACTAGATTGATCCTAGGATTCCTTGGTCATTAGGGTTACTCTCATGATCGAACAGATATTCATGGTTGGTATTTGAGTGTTGTATAGGTGTTTGGCTTATTTCGATTTCTCTCTTAAAGGTCTAAAGATGTAATCAAAATGTGCGTGTACGAAACTAAGTTGCATGAATAAATGTTAATTGTAAAGACATGTAAAATTGCATAAAAGGCAAGTAAATGGTTTAGAATTATAAAAACAGTTAATGTAAAGGATGTTCTGGAACGTAAAAGGTTTGAAATATGAAGAAAGCGTTTAATGCAAGAAATCTGTAAATGACTTTAAGTAAAAATAGGCGTTCGAAGAATAAAGCTTGAAAGTAAAAGCATGGAAAGTATGACAGTTTTCTGAAATGTAAAGTGCTTGAAATGTAAAGAAAGCATTGAAATGTAAAGCTTTAATGAAGAGATTTCGAAATAGAAAGACTTTGAATGAGAAAAACTTGTAAATGTTATTTGACAGAAAGATAAAGGAAAGTGCTGGAAATGATAAAAGGTTTTCATTAAATCATAAATATGTGGTGCTATCATACGTACATTGCTCTTGCATTCATTTCCCTTGCCATGTGGTAGTTTGAATGTTACTGAGTATTTAGTACAATAGATATGACACACGAAATCCTAATACTAAGACTTCTATTTATACTAATTCGACCATAACGGTCTTGCTATAGGATTATGCCACGTTCAGAACATGCAGAACAATGCCTCTCTCTTCTTTCCACGTGTCTCCAAATGCTCCAGCACATAAATTTCAAACTTCGAATGTCCCGCTTCCATTTGAATTTCAAATGCTTTGGTACTTCTCCGTTTCGAACGTACTTCTCAGACACAACCTTGTTGTTATTTCGAGACTTCTTTAGATATGTTCCCATAATTGCCACTCGAAGCTCCAAGCTTTGACATGCTTATTCGAAACACTGCTTCTGCTACTTCGAAACATGACGCTTTGTTTCATTTTGATCGAAATGTTCAATTCACTTGGCTTCTAATAATATTATCAAAATATTCAGCCAACAGGGGGGGGGGGTGAACTATGTGATGGTCAATTTTTGCCTTCTCTTTTAAAGTTCTTATTTTTCTGATTATGGTTATGAAAGCAATAAAATGCGGAAAATAAATGAACACCAGATATATACTGGTTCCCCTCACAGATCGAGAGTACTCCAATCCTCTTGCCAACACAGGAGAGATTTCACTATAGTTTAGAATAATTGTACAAGCCTAATCACACCAAAGGTGATGCCTTACTATCTAGTCCTATGGAGATTAAAGACTCTTAAATCCTTTAGGATCTTGAACACTAAGTGCAAGAAGAACAATCCTCTTCAATGCACACACTTGCTCCAACAATCCTAAAATGCAAGGTTAATCTTATACAAAATCTGATTTTTACAAAGTATGATCAATTCTTGAATAACACTATGGTTATCAAGACACTAAGACAAGATTTAATAAGAAGTTTATAGTCAGATCTAGTGCTTAATATATGCTGAAACAATGATGAGTATGAAATTTCTAAACAATGTTTCATGCAATATGTAAATTCTCAAAGTTTTACAACTCTTAAGAACTTTTAAAGTTTGGATAATGTGTCATGTGTTATGATCAGAATGCAAACGAATTTTATATGTGAAATACACCATTTAATTACACTTAAATGAGTAAAAAGATACAATGATTGGACCCCAAGAGGTATCACCCAACATCTAAGTAAAACATAAAATATTTGAAATTTTTCTTCAGTGGTAACCGGTTACTGCAGGGCTGTAACCGATTACGCAGACGCCACAACATATATATTTTTCAAATTTGCATGGCTATAACTGGTTACCCAAAAGCTTTAACTGGTTACCACTGAACCAATCATTTATTTTTATTTCTGTGAAGCCCTGTAACCGGTTATCACTGAGTGAAAGTGATAAAAGCTTATTTTATAAGTGATGGATATGCAATATTTTACTCTTAAATAATCATGACACTTATGTAAAATGTTTAGAGTATATTTTGAGCACTATATCATCTTAAAAAATCTCAATTTAAAACTTGTACCTAACTTGCTGATAAATCTTCATAAATCTTCATCTTGAAAGTTGGTTGTATACTTGTAGAAGACTTCATAGAATGATCTTGAAATATTGTATGATCTTGAACATCTTCTTTTTCACAACCTTGATATTTCTTTGACTTTATATATGGTGGTCTTCATCAAAATACTTTGATTCGAGTGTATGCAATCACAAATTTTATTTTTTTATATTCATTTTGAAATCATAAGCGTGCGTACCACACCATCCGTGCGAACACACAAGTATCCCACTAGAATCCGCCAAAAAAATTTAATATTAATGAGAACATGAAGTTATTGATCAAAATATTGAATATTAACGGGAACATGAAGTTATTCATCAAAAACTTTGAATATTAGCGGGAACATGAAGTTATCATCAAACTATTGAATATTAACAGAAATATGAAGTTATTAATCAAAGTATTGAATATTAACGGGAACATAAAGTTAATGATCAAAATATTGAATATTAACGGGAACATGAAATTACTAATCAAAATATTGAATATTAATGAGAACATAAAGTTACTGATCAAAATATTGAATATTAGCGTGAACATGAAATTACTGATAAATTTTTTAAATACTAACGAAAACATGAAGTTACTGATCAAAATATTGAATATTAACGAGATCCTAAAGTTACTGTTTATAATATTGAATATTAACTAGAACATGAAGTTATTGATCAAACTATTGAATATTAAAGAGAACATGAAATTACTAATTAAAATATTGAATATTAACGGGAACATGAAGTTATTGATCAAATTATTAAATATTAACAGAAACATAAAGTTATTGATCAAATTATTGAATATTAACGGAAATATTAAATTACTGATCAAAATATTGAATATTAACTAAAGTATTAAATTACTGATCAAAATATTAAATATTAACGGGAACATGAAGTTATTGATCAAAATATTGAATATTAATTGAGATATTAAATTACTGATCAAAATATTGAATATTAACGAAAACATGAAATTACTGATCAAAATATTAAATATTAACGAGAACATGAAATTACTGATCAAAATATTTAATAATAACTAAAACATGAAATTACTGATCAAAATGTTGAATAATAATGAAAACATGAAATTATTGATCAAAATATTGAATAATAATAATAGAACAACTTTACTATTGATTTTTAAAATAATTTTTACAAATATACTAAAACAAAAAAATATTATTAATTCAAATATTTTTATATATTGAAAGAATTTACAGGAACCGATTTATTATCCCTTTTAAAAAATTATTTTATTTTTATTATATTTTAAAAATAAATACGCGTATCATACGGGTACTTGTGCGAACACACGAGTATCCTACTATTTACTATTAGAAAAAAACAAACATGGTTCAAAAATAAAAAGCATATTCACTCTGTCCCAAAATAATTTTCGCATTTGATAAAATTATTTATTCTAAAATAAATATGGTTTTTAATTTCTAATACAATTTTAATTTTTATATTATCTAATTAATATTCTCAATTTATATTTATTATATATTTATGATCATTGAAATATATTAATAATAAACAAGGATAGATTTTATCTTTCTCATTTATCACTTTTTTTTTTTGTGAAATGATCCATTATGAAAATTATTTTGGAAGGGACTATATGCAAAGTGGCCAAGAGCCCTACTTTTCTGGTCTCCCAACAAAATGTGTGACGTTTTAATTTCTAATATTCGAACACGCACTTATTCTTAATCTCAACTCTGCAAAATCGAAGGCGGAAGCATACAAATCAGCATCTTCTTCAATAAAGGTTAATATCACTCTGTTGCGTTATCTATCAAATTCGAATACATTCTTCTTCTTTTTTCCTTTCATTTGGTTTGGTTATGTAACTTATTATTTTTTTAAATTATTACAGTGTCGACCTCACAGGGTCGGTGTCGTGTTTCTGGTGTATGTGCTTCTTAGTAAATTACACTACATAGCAATGATCGATTCTATGGTTTCCTTTAACCCTCCCAAAACCCTCCACACAAAAATTTCACTTTCCCCATCACTCATTACCTCTACAACCAGAATCACTTTCAGACCAAACAAATTCAGAATCGCAACCATTCGCGCTTCATCATTGCGAAAAGAAACCGAACAACAACCTTCTTTTGGAGACACTCTCCTCAACAGCACTCGCAAACACCAAGTTCTTGATGCTGTCACAACTTTCCTTTCAAATTGCCTCTCTGAAACTAACCTGCATTTGACAGTTCCTTCTCTCAAATCGAAAACTCGCGGAAAAGTAAGTATATCATTTTCAATCATTGTCTAGTCTTACTTATTTATTGACTACTATGTATGTAATTGGAATTCAGAAGTAGCATAATGTAATGCTGGCAGGTTCGAGATATTTACGATACTGAGGATTATCTTGTTTTAGTGACCACTGATCGCCAGAGTGCTTTCGATAGGGTTCTTGCTTCCATTCCTTTCAAAGGCCAGGTTTGTGATTCTTTCCTGTTCTGTTCATTTACTTGGAAAGTGGTTTATAAAGAAATGATGACGATCCTAATCGTTTGCGTAATTGTCTGTCATGGAAAACCAACCTGATAGTATAAGTAATTGTAGTGGTTTATAAAGAAATGATGACGATCCTAATCGTTTGCGTAATTGTCTGTCATGTAGTATAAGTAATTGTAGGAGTAACCATCCTTTATTCCATATTGTTGGTAGTTTAAGGTTCTTGCACATAGATGAGGGTAATCAAATCATTAGATGCAAAGCTTTGTATGGACTGACCCAACAAAAAGATGGTTAGCACCTAGCGGGTGTTTCGAGCATGAGACCTTCAGAGGAGCACACAGTCAAGACCCAAGTCTTCTACTGTCTTCTATTTAAATTGGTGTTTTATCATCAATTCGTAATTCAATACTATTACCTTCTATTAAAATCAGTTGTGTTGCATCCAATAATCTGATTGTTGCAGGTTCTTAATGAAACAAGTCTGTGGTGGTTTGAGAGAACTAAGCACATAGTTTCTAACGCAGTTGTGTTGTCTCCAGATAAAAACGTTACAATAGCAAAGAAATGTTCAGTTTTCCCTGTTGAGTTTGTTGGTGAGTTATTTGCAGATACAGAGAGTTGTTATTTGCCTGTTTAATGTTTGATTCTAGCCACCATCCATTGACACGTGTTGCAAGTTTGTAGCTAGAGGATTTGTCACCGGAAGTACCGATACATCTTTATGGACGGTCTACAATAAAGGCAACCGTAACTACTGTGGAAATGTCCTGCCAGATGGTGAGATTTCAAATTCTTCTCTAATTCTTATTTTATTCTTCTCCCCTTGTGTAATGGGATTGTAATATATGACAGGGATGGTTAAAAATCAAAAGTTGTCTAAAAATATACTCACTCCTACTACCAAGGCTGCGGATCATGATGTTCCAGTCACTCCAGATGAGGTATGATGCCTAGTTTTGTCATTTTCAGCTTGTTATTGCGCTATGATTGCAGTATAACTTGATTTTCTCCAAAACTCTTACTTTTGTGTTGCAGATTATAGAAAAGGGACTGATGTCTCGAGCTGATTATGTAGAAGCGAGTGAAAAAGCATTAGGCCTTTTTGAATATGGACAAGTAATAAAGCTTATTTGCTGAGGCATTTGAAAAATGCATTTCCTTATGGTTGACTTTACCATTTGTTTGACTTTGCAGCAAGTGGCTTTAGAACATGGACTTATATTGGTAGATACTAAGTATGAGTTCGGGAAGGCAAATGATGGATCAATTTTGTTGATTGACGAGGTCGATTGCTATCTTTGATACATATTGAATTCTTACATGCACTCACATATTAAATATATAAATGTGATTGAGTTTCTTTTCTGTTCCCAACTTCAGGTCCATACTCCTGATTCGAGTAGATATTGGATCGCCAATTCTTACTTGGAGCGCATTCAAAATGGTCTTGAGCCTGAAAATGTTGATAAGGTGTTTTTTATGTGCATCTTTCTTTACTTCATAGACGAGTAAACCGTCGTTTTGATTTTTGAGTGTGTGAAGCACTATCATTATAGTCCTTGAATGTTACAAAATTATAAAAACATCCCCGAATATGTCATACCTTAGTAGGTTCAGTTTTTGAATGTGTCTTCTAGTCAGTTTAGTCTATAAAATTCTACTAACAAAGACAAACTCAAGGATGTTTTTGTAATTTCAATACATTTAGGGACTATAATGACTGCCACACATTTTAGCGATCAAAATGATGATTTAATCCTTTATAGATTGAGTACATTGGTTTCCATATATTAATGCTATGTTTCTTTAGGAGTTCTTGAGGCTGTGGTTCAAAAGTCACTGCAACCCTTATGAAGATGAGGTAATTTACATTTTCTACTGGCAATGAATCAGCGTTTAGCCTTGAATGATGCATTTTACAACATGGGTGGCTTTTTTTTAGATCCTTCCCGATGCTCCTGAAGATCTTGTTTGTGAATTGGCTTGGCGGTATGTCTACTGCTCTTGAAACTTATTTTGTGAAATCGACTCAGAAGAGTGTGCTGTTTTCTTTTGGACTTGCTAGTTATATAGTAATATTCTGATTTTTCATTGCAAAAACCTTCTAAAAGATATGAGAATTGATTCGGCAAATCTGTATCTGTTGCTGTATTCGTATAGATGAGCATCGTAGTATTTTATTGGCAGGTACATTTTCTTATACGAGAGTATAACAAAATCAAAGTTTGAGATGCAACTGACCGAGGTAATCAATATACAATTTCTTAAATTTTATATATTTTCTAATGCAATTCATTTTATTATAAACTTAGTTTCAGTCAAAAATAAAAACTGTTCTTGCAGGAGCCAATACATGATCGAATATCGCGAAATGTTGCATCTGCACTAGCATCCTTAAAGTAATCCACACAAAAAGTTTGTTGCTATTGCCAGGGATTTTGATTCTGTCTTGTAAACTTTCTCACATGGGATTTCAACCAATAATTTTGGAAAGGAGTCTGAAATTCTACTTGAAAGTATTCATCTCTATGACTATGTCGATTTTGCTAAAAGTTATACTTAGAAGCTTAGACAAAATCGCAGTTTAACCATGATTTTGTGAAACTTGAATGCCATATATGAACTTAAATGCAACAATGACCTACCTTGACAATATGACTCAACTTCTCTCTGCAAGATAATTAAGTAACTGTTATTTAATGGAGACTATTATTATTCTTCATCTACTTTATTTTCTTGATCAAAATTTGGCCGTAGATGTTTTTAACAAAAAAAATTGTCCATAGTTAAATAAGAGCTCATAAGTTATTGTCAGATTAAATCATGGTTAAATAAAGTTTTTGTTTATTTTGTCAGGATTAAACTGCACCAAATCTACATAATACTTGCAAAAATTTGAGACGATAATGCATGAATTTTATATATTTTATTAGCTTAATAATTGACGAAGTCTTTTAATTTAATTCCAAGTTCTAATTTATGAAAAAATGTCAACTTCCGTCTACGTGGCATGACAACAAAGTAATGGTTGAATTGTTGAGTCAACATATGTATTGAATTTTTTATTTTTTTGTTGAGTCAACATATGTATTGAATTTTTTATTTTTTTTAAATTGCTAGGACTTTATTTTTCGGAGATTAAAACCCCCGCAAATTGTTAATAGTTGTAAAAAAAAATATAACAACTCTTTTTCGAAAGCTTTATTAAAAAGGGCCATTTTACTACTGATGTAAAACTACCAAGAATGATACATCCAAAATCACAAGTAAAACAAACAAATCACATGTTTTGATTACGATTAAAGATGAGACTTTCATTTCCAATTTCTCTCCAAAAACAACATAGTGGAAACCATAATTTTCACACATTAAAGCATCAAAATAATTGTTTCCTCTTATAAAAGTATTACATTACCAATGAAAGAAAAATATGATCCACCCACAAAATAAACACATTGCAAGCAAATATGTAAAAATTAATCAAAGTGAAACACTACCAAATGTTTCTTTTAGTATCTTCAAATTAAATTAATATGACTGAGTCTGTTACATTTGTCCAACTTAACAGATTTTGATAAAATTTAACAGAAAAGACTAATATAACTAACGAAATTTGATTTAAGTTATTAAAATTTAACAGAAAAGACTAATATAACTAACGAAATTTGATTTAAGAAATTTAAAACGAATTTTTATTAAATAAAGAACGTAAGTGAAATTTAAAATTAAATTAAAAGATTAAAGAATACATTAAATCTATTTTATTCAAAAAATACTCATAAAAATATAATATATAGCTTTACAAACAACTAATTACAATTTTTTATTAATTAAAAAATAAAAATAAAATTTTCTCTAACATACACTATGACAACCAGTCTCATGAATTCAATTAAAAAAAATTAAATTTTAAATAAAAATATACTCTCTTTAACCATATAAATTTAAGTTTTTTTATTTCTCTTTCTACATATTAACTTACTATACGAAAGACATGTGCATTTATAAAAAAAAATATAAATATTTTTAGTCAACAATTACATATGATAGCAATATGTTAAAAGATGATTTAATTAAAAAAAGGGATATTAGATAAAAATATTTCAAAAAAATTTGGTCTAGTATAATCAATTATTATATTAATTTAATTTAAATAAACAAGTTCTAAAATATTTTTATGCATTTATAATGCATAGTATGAGTGATAGATTATAAAAAAATGGCAATCTTTTACTCTCATATAGTCTGTAAGTAGATACAAATATATTTAAATTAAATATGTTGTAATTTATTATAAGTATTAATTTATGTTATCATCTTTTTATTAAAAAATTTAAAAAAAAGAGAAAAAAATTATATATCAAAATGTCATTAATTCGGTTTCAAAAGAATTTGAAATTTGTACTAAAGTGATTAATCTAAATTTAATTAAGGTTTGATAGTCTATTTAGTATACATGTCATTTTTATATAAATATATATAGTTCGTAATATAGTTTGTATAATATAATAATATAAATTCTTATTGTTTTATTCTCTCCTTTTCTTTTGTCATTAAAAGTGTTTTACGTATTAATAAATTGGTATTTAGACTTCCAGTTAGATTCTTGATCGTGTTTTCAAGAATCACACACCAGTGATCATATTTCTGGGATCATAGGTTGTTCATCACTTTTGCTGCAAAGATGAATGGTAACAAAACAATGGTATTTAGAATAGGCGTGACAACAAAACTCATACTCGTAGGTACCCACCTGAACCCGCCTCAAAGTTGACGGGGAAAATCCACTTTAACTGAGTTTGGGTTTTCCCTGATTAAAAATATGCGGACGAGTGGGTATTGGGGACACTAGTACTCACTCTGAACCTGAACCCGTCCCATTTATTTTATTATGTACATTATTATATATTTATGACAATTTAGAATATTAAATATGTGGTCAATATTATAAGAATTTGATTTATATTTATTATTTAAAATATTTGAAATGTATGTATGGAATTTTTTGAGAATATTTTATTTTATTATTTATAATGTAATTTGATTTTAGAAAAATAAATATTTCTATTAAGAAAATTGATTTTACTAAATAAATGGTGGCAAGGCGGGGATACCATAACCCATTTGCGACAGGTTTGGGTTTTAATTCTCCATTCTCGTTTGAGTTTGGGGAGGGAAACAAGAATTGTTTGGAGATTTGGGTTTGGGTTTGAGAGAGATAAAAATCGTCCCGACCCGCTGTCATGCCTAATTCAGAATTCTCTTCCAACTCTTGACGGAAAGAATTGGATCCGATGGAGAAAATAGATGCAATCTCTGTTTAGCTTTCATAAAACCCTTGAAGTGGTTACTAATGGCGTTCTTGCGCTTGTTGAGGATGCAACCGACACACGAGAACCGCCCACAAGGATGCCAAGAAGAAGGATTGCAATCCGACATTTTACATTCGATCAACGTAGATTAGGAAAATTTCAACATAATCTCTCGTGCTTAATTGGCGAAGGAGGCATGAGATATTCTTGTCAAGTACTATGAAGGAGGTGAGAAAGTCAAAGTTGTTAAATTATAGACTTTGCGACAACAATATGATTTGCTGTCGATGGGAGAAGATGAAAAAATTGCAACTGTGTGTTGAAGATACACAATATCGTCAATCTCATGAAGGATTATGGTGAAACTCTAATTGATAAGATGATAGTTGAGAAGGTAATGCATACGCTGACCTCTCACTTTGATCACATTACCTTATCTATTCAAGAATCCAACAATCTTGAAACCCTAAAACTGGAAGATTTGGTTGGTTCGTTGAAGGCACATGAGATTAGGATTGTCGAAAGTAAAGAAGTTCAAGACTCGATACATGTACTACATGCTCAGTTATGGAAAGAGAATGGTGGTTCCAACAAATTCAAAGGCAAAATCGACAATACTTAGGGCAAGAAGTCTTGGTCGAATCCTCAAAAGAATAATATCGACGATAGTGTTTCTGAATCCTCGAAAAGGGGATAAGGAAATTCTTATCAGAAAGACAAAGAAGAGAAAAAAGGCGTGCAGTCCTATAACTATGAAAAATGAGGTCACTTGGCCAAGCATTGTTGGTACATGAAAAACAAGGGATCGACAAAAGACAAGGACGAAGGAGTAAACCTTGTACGCCAAGATTATGATGATTATTATGATATTATGGTTATGGATGTAATTGCAGATAACCATGTCGAATCTAAGATCTGGTTCCTCGACTCAGGCTGCTCGAATCACATGATTGGTTGAAAAATATGGTTAACAGATTTTGACGAGTCGAAGAACAGCAAGGTAAAACTTGCAGATTATAGCTCGTTGCAAGCAGAAGGTAATGTCAACACAAATTTTCAAAGGAGTAATGGAGCGAAAGCTATAATCAAAGATATAATCCATGTACATGGAATGAAGTGAAATCTACTAAGTGTTAAACAAGTTATCGAAAAAGGTTTCTCAGTCATCAAGAAGATGAAGCTTATAATTGTTCGACACCCATAACAGTTTGGTCTTAAAATATCTGTTGTCCAAGAATAGGACATTTAGGACCATGATTAATTAGACTGAGGTACAATGTCTGAAAACAGTTTTTGACCACAAGAATAATTGGTCGTGGCATTTGAGGTTTGGTCATCTGAACTTCAGGGAGCTCAATCAACTGATCACTCAATATATGGTGACAGGTATACCAAGTCCTTTGTTTCCCAATAAACTCTATGAAGGCTTCTTAGTAGAGAAGTAATCCATAAATTCTTTGTTTCGACTATGCCAGTGAGATCTTCCTACATACTCGAAGTTGTACATTCAGATGTATGTGGTCCCTTTGATGAGCATACAATTGGTGAAAACATATATATATTTTTGTTTATCGACGAGTATAGTCAAAAACTATGGATCTATGTGATCAAGTGAAAGGATGAAGTATTCAAAATCTTTAAAGAGTCAAGATACTTGTCGAAAACTAGAGTGAAAAGAAGATCAAGGTTTTGCGAAAAGATGGAGGTGGTGAATACACATCCAAAATGTTTGAGGAATTCTCAGCAAAACATGGTGTCAATCATGAGGTAACTGCTCCTTATACACTTCAACATAATGGAATTACAAAAAGAATAAACATGGTCATATTGGATATAGAGAGATGCATTCTAAAGCATCCGAATTTTTCTAAAATCCTTATGTGATGAAGTTGTTTTCATTGCTATTTATATTCTGAATAGGTGCCCTACCAAGAAATATGAGAACAAAGTTCCTGAAGAAGTGTGGAGTGGCAAATGACCATTAGTGAATCATTTGAAGGTGTTTGGATCTATGTGTTACAAACATGTTCCTGATGCAAGAAGAAGGAAGCTTGATGATAAGAGTGAACCTATAATTCTGGTAGGATATTA